TTTTGCAATAGAATAATATAGCAGAAATATATAATATACGTACGTCACTTCACTATAGATAGATATTATATTACCTTCGAACGGATACATTGTTGACGAATACAATAAGAGAAAAGACAATGCAGGTTATTATAAATAATTATTATGCTCTCGTTCATCTGCCGTTGTATAGAGGGCTATTCAAAAGTACCTTTAGAATGTTGATTGAGAATATCTGTCAAACGTCATATTTGTTTCTTGTCACTTTCCTTTGTTTTTTAACCTGCAATGATGGACAATTTTAAAGATGGAGTCGTATGCGATTAAAGAGCGTGTTAAAGTTATTCAAATTTATTTTCAAAATCGGTGTTCGATAAAAAAAATACGATCATCGTAAATTACGTGATTTTTTCGGCATCTAAGCAAACAATTCGAACTTTGGTTAACAAATTTGATGAAACTGGATCTCTTTATGATAAACCAAAGTCTGGCAGATCAAAAACAGCTCGTTCGTATGAAAACACTGCTATCGTTTATGAAAGTGTTGCTAATGAACCATCGACATCAATTCCACGTTGTTCTCAAGAATTGAACATTTCTTATGGCAGTTCGTGGCGAATTTTGCGAATTTTGCGTAAAGATTTGCATTTGCATGCTTACGAAATTCAATTTATTCAATTCAATTGAAAGAAACTGACAATTTGCAACGCAGAAATTTCGTCGATTGGTTGTTAGAACATCGTACAATTGATGCATTGTTTTCATACATCATCTTCAGCGATGGAGCTCATTTCACATTGAACGGACACGTCGTCAACAAGCACAATTGTCGCATATGGGAACATGAAAATTCAATAGCCATTCAAGAAACATCACTTCATCCAAAAAGAGTTACTGTTTGGCGTGGATTTCGGTCGAAAGGCGTAATCGGCCCATTCTTTTTCGAAAACGAGAATGAAGAGACAGTTAAAGTGAATGGTGCACGTTATAATTAAATGATTGTTGATTATTTATGGCTGAAATTAAATGTGATCGACATAAGCAATGTTTACTTTAAAGAAGAAGACGTAGTTACGCCACACACATCATGTAAAAACATCACTTTATTGCGATCGAAATTCGATGGTCGATTAATTTCAAGAAATGGTGATGTGAATTGGCCACCTGGTTCGAGTGATTTGACCTCATTGGACCTCATTTTCTTTGGGGTTATTTGAAAAGCAAAGTTTATGGCAACGAACCAGCAACAATTCATGACCTAAAGAACAACATTAGAAATGAGATTGGCGAATTAAACGAGCAAATGTGCTGAAACGTCATCGAAAATTTTAATATTCCAATTGATGTCTATAAACGTAGTCGTGGTGATCATTTGACAGATATCATCTTTCACACATAATTGTCGTAGATGATACTCGATAATTAAATAAGAAAAACCAATAAAATTCAAAATAGTTCGTTGTTTGATTTAAAAAAAATGTCCTACAGTCTATTTTGCATAACTCTGTACGATTGTGCCAATAAACATGGAAAACACGATCCGGATACGCATATTTCAGCAAAAATTCAATTTGAATCTCCATCACATGTATAACCGAATATTTTTGTGCATCGGTGCATCATTAAATTGGAAGGAACTTTTTGATCCATGCGAAATAATCGCGCCTTTTTTTCTCTGTTTCCTGCTTTACGTAACTAATAACGCTCGTTAAAATTCAATGAATTCTTTGAAAGCATCCATTACACTGCACAATCGGGTTGTACATCGGTTTATACAAAGCACAGTAGAGACTTTAAATATCATTCAATTAACTCTTCGTTTTATTTTTTTTCTAATATCGTAGACTCGCATAGACGTTCTAGGTTTCATCATAAATTTTCTCAAGTAGATACGTTAGCCATAAATAAAATGATCCATGATCCCACCGCGTACTGCTCATCGCTAACTTATCACGAGCATCGCATAAACGAGAGAGCGAGAGAGAGAGAGAGAGAGAGAGAGAGAGAGAGAGAGAGAAAATAGGCATACCTTTAGTAAATCTGTCGTACGATGGAAATCAGGTCGCGTTACATATTGAATACGATTTTCCCGGCGCACCATGCAACTATTCGAACGCGGTATCGATCCTGTTTCTTTCATTTCAAAATCCAACTCGTTCGAGCACTCTTCAACCGTGAAGATGATACAAGTTGAGTGAACGCAGCTACTGAAAACATGAAACTCCGAAACCAATGAAATTTGCACCGAACCGCGACCTTTTCCATCTATATAAATCCGATTTTGCGGTTTCCTATCTGACAAATCACATATGAAACATGCCTGCCAGATATAATATTTAATACCGGAGCATAGCGCCCGCGTTTTTCATGTCATGCGCACCACATTTATTTTGCGATCCGATATTTAGCCGATTAACTTGCATCTGTCGATTTGGGAATAATGAGTCTTCCAGCTGCTTAGTATCTTTGGCATGCACTCAATTCAAATATTTTTTTTTCCAAGAATATGATGTAGCTCATCAGATATTGGCTTAAATCAAGCTCATAGCTAATAGAGAATTCATAGCTAATAATTCTTAAATTATTATTAATATTAATAATATTATTATATATATATAATAAATATAATATAATAATAATAATATATAATATAATATATAATATATATAATAAATTAATTATTAATATTAATTATACCCCCTTAGGGGTATTCTAGTTAGTGTGAAGTGACTGTGTGTTTTTGACTCTGTTAGGGAATTTTTTTGCAAAGAAACTGTTATACCTTTTGCAGTAAAATTGACAAGGTTTATTTGTACGCGCTTCAACGACGTTTAAAAATTTTTTTTGGATAAAAGAAAAATAAAATCAGTGGCATGCATACTCTCAAACATAGTCGCTTTTAAAAAAGTGTCCATTACGGTGTCCATTGTTTCGACCATTTTGCTTGCCTGAAATTAAAAAACGTGAAAGTTCCTTAATTAGTATGAATTTGACTATAGCAGGTACTAGAACAAAAAAATAAAGTTGGCAATTCAAAGAGTGGCGATACTTTGAAGATTGATTATCGATTTTTGCATGTTTCATTTAACTTTGGAGGCCTAAAAACTAGAAAAGAAACAAAATTTTTTGGTTGATTGTAGTAGGGGCTGTAGTCACACAAATATGTACTAAATGCGTTCTCAAAATTTGGTAAAGTTGGTTTCGTGATATCATGGACACCTTTCTAAGAAATATAATTTTGAGCAAAATCTCTTTAAAATCTTATAACTGTGTCAATTTTAGGAGTTCGCATGTAAGATTCCAGAGATGTATTTTTAAAAATATGTATATCCTTTAAGAATATGCAAAAAAATTATTTTTTTAAAAAGTTCATACCTGAATACCCCGTTAAGGTTTTTATACAAATCCTCATTTTTATAATCAAATACGAAGCATCTAATTCAAAGTGAAATATCTTGTCTTTTATTAATAGCTCCAGTAGTTTGATCAAGATAAGAAGAATGTTTCATTGAAGTTTCCATTGTGTTCATTCTTGAACTTCTTTAGAAGCTACAAAGATAGCGAATGATCTGTTACATGCTCTGTTTAACTAAAATGATTAAATGTAGTGCACTATTTCAAATGCATGGATATCAATACTCTATGCCAAGGAACTACAAAAGATTACTTCATCAAGAAGTTTATCGCAGATCCTCAATCAAATAAAAGAGTATTACCAACTTTTTCAATCTCAGTAAGGTAGACGCTTCTAATATGTATGATTGATTTGAATCTATAAACTCTAATCATTTTTCAGATAACAATGAACCTACTTCTCTTAGATCAACGTCGATACTCTATATTTAGTTATTACCAGAGTTGGACATCGTTTATCTAATTGGGCAATTCTTATCTAACACAATTATTTAAATGAACTGTTTTTAGTCGAATATAGTTTTCGAATAACAATCATTCATCATTCGCAAATTATTCGCATTAAAAAAAAATCGCATTATTCACAAATTATTCTATCTATTTATTCGAGTAATTTTTTATTTTTTATTCGAATAAATTATTCTAATACAGATTATATAATATAATATATAATAAATTATTCGAATAGAAATTGTCAAATTTTTCAAGTAACGTTGACCCTTTTTTATGCATGTTTTTAAGCATGTATGCGTATCCTTACTGTTTATAAGAAAATTTGTTGAAATCAAGTGATACCTTTAAAATTTTGCAATAAATTTCGTCGAACTATCTCGATGCTTTTATTGCTTGGTTTAATCGATTAGATCGATTTCTTTCCATGAGTCAAAATTTAACCTTTTTGAATGCGACCATTTATACATGCGACCATTTATACATGTGACCATTTATAATTTACTGCATAATAATTTATTGCATAAATCTTAAAGGTATTATTTGATTTCAAAACATTTTTTTTATAATCAGTGAGGTTACGAATATTTATAGAACTGACTATAGGTGTTGCAAACATGAATCCTGGAACGTGCAATGACTTTCTTTGCATCTGGAGAAAGATTATTTAGTTATGCATCAGTGATCAAACTACCCAAAAGTAAGAAACAAAGCAACAAAGTTAATTGTAATAAGAAGAAATTAATCAATAAACCATGGAAAAATACCATATTCTATAATTTCGATTCAAATCGACTATTTTCCGAATTAATCCCTGCACAAATAAATTCTCATTCGAATAACAAATAACTTCTTCGAATAAAATTATATTCGGATAAATTATTATCTAGACGCACGATTATTCGTTTGGATACTTATTCGACAACGTCGAATAAAATTTTATTCGTCGATCCTTGTTTCTCACCCGTCACCAGAACAAAATTGCCCCCAACTCTGCTCAGTGCGCACAAGCAACTCATCAAACTGTTATCTAGAAAACCAGAATTTCTCCGAAGCACACCTGAAAGTGGGGTTTACAACAACAAAAAATCCAGGTTAATCGCATCTTGATCCACGCGTCGTGGCGCCCTAGCTGAAATTCTTGGAACGTTTTTCAGATTCCAATTTGGCCGAGCAGGGAAGAGGACGGAGCCGATGTCGGGGTCGGAGGACAGGGTCGGCTGAACAAGAAGAGCAAGCAGGAGGCCGCGTCTCCGACGAGACCTTTTCCTAGCCTGTTGTCCAGGTCGGATGTGTGCGAGCCCATCGGATATCGGTCGATAAGTTGGTCGGGGTACGTGGATTGAATGGCAGGTCGAGCCCTGGACTCCTGTCGCGGGACAGTCTTCTCACGCTTCCGGCTGACCCTTGGATAAGGCTGTTTCCCATCCGAAGGGCACGTTCGCCGGTGGGCCAGCGAAGTTTGCCCGCTGCCAGTCGGCGGTCATTAGCTCCGATTATCCGCGGAGCCTCGCGAGATAGGAGCCAGGTGATTCCGAGCAGCTGCGTGCTGCGAGCGATCGGCGAGAAGAGTTCTCCATCCAGAAAGCTAGCAGAAGGTTCGACGTATAAGGGGGTTGCCAGGAAGCTCGGGGCCGGTCAGGGTGATTCCGATGAGGACGACGGCGTAGGAGAAGTTGGTCGGCGTTGATCCATCGTCCAGGTCAGCCACGTGCACCGTCGACGTCCGCGATTATTGGCATCACGAGGATCACGTTGATTTCCCCACCAATAACGGCCACATGACTTGACGATCGCCCCACCTACCGCTGCTCGTCGTTAAGTGAAGGCGGCGACAGTGGCAGCAACGTCATCGAGGGAACGACGAGCACGACGACGGCGACGGCCACGACGACGACGACCGACGACGACGCCGACGACGACGACGGACGTGGACGAGGAAAGACCAGAAACCAGAGATTAGCGAGCGGTTGCTTCCTCGCTGCGAGGCTACCACCGGGTATTTAACCAGTGACACACGCGGCTGCCAGCTCAGTTGGCGGCTGTCGGTCAGAAGGTGTTCGACGCTTCCTCGCTTCCGCCTTCGCTCGTTCGACAACCGCAACCAGCGCGCGTCTTTGATCCAGAGGGATCACCGGTTTTCGCGGTCCTGCTCGCGTGTTTTCATCGGTGGGTGGCAGTGTCAGTGGGTGGCACTAGGGTGCCGTTGTGCCTGTTTGTGTCGTTGTTCTTGGTATCGTCGTCGACCCGCGCGCCGGTTACAGTGCCGGTTTTTGGTGGATAGTGGTGGGTACCAGTGTCCAGTGTGAAACTGGAGCCGCTGGCGGTCGCAGTCCTGAGGAAGAGCTATCATGTGCCCGCAGATGATTTCCGGACTGGCGGTCCTAGCGCTGGTGACACTAGGTGCTCGGGTGGCAGCGTACACCAATCAGTGGGCGGTGCACATCGAGGGTGGGCCGGAGATCGCGCAGAGTGTCGCCATGGAGCATGGGTTTCAGTATCTTGATAAGGTAAGGAGGCTGCTTTCTTTACTTTTTGCGAACGATCTACGGTGGCCTCTCGAAACTACGCGTTTGGTGCTGCAGAAGTCTCAATTGTGCGGGTTGTTCGCATTGAAAACATTTGTTTTGCGACTGGGGCTGTTTTCGTAACGTGTGTGCCCCGACTGTACGCCTGGGACCAACGAGAAAAGTCGTGTAAATACATGCCCTATCTCTATCTTTATTTGCGAGATATGATCGGAGCTGGGCAATATTTGCAGAGGAAATGTTTGAAATACTATTTTAAATAGCGTATTCTTTACGATTTAAATACGATAGTACTTCGAGTAGGACATAAAATTTCAGTAAATAATATATTTTATTTCGAGAATCCACAGCTAAAGCGTGATATAAATATTTGATTTTGATCATGTAAAACGTAAAATAAAATAGTTTATTTTGATTTCTAAAGCTATATCGTGAAGATAAATATTTTGTTTTGATAATCTAAAACATGGAATAAAATAGTTTTTATTTGAATAACATAAATCATAAGATAGAATACTGAAAGTAAATCGTGAAAATGATTAACGCGACGTGAAACGAGGTAACATAAAGAAATCATGTTTACAAATAAAATTTATTGTTCTTTTAAATATAGCTATTAACATGTAACAAAATGCATATTTTATGTACGTTTATAATGCAGAGAATAAGCACTTCGTTCGCTTTATATTACCAAAATAAATTTTACGCTATGATTTAGTAAAATAAAATTACTTTGTTTATTGATAATGAATTGTGTGTGTGTGTGAACGAAACAAATATTCCGAACTATGGCACAAATATTTTCAGTGTTTTTCAAATAAAGTATTATTTGAAATATTATCTTAAAAATTTGTCGCAACGAATAAAATAATTTATTTTTAAAAGTAGATTCTCTTTCGGACAAATAAAATATTTTATTTTCAAAAATACGTGCATGATCTAAAATAAAATATCTATTTACTATTTGCCACTCATAATATTATTTTACCCAGCTCTGGATATAATGAATCCGTTTTATAAACAGCGTAAACTCTTTGAAAATAAGAAAATAAAATAAAATATTTTTTCATTGAAAATACTGAAATACTTCGAAATAAAATAGAGCAAGACTTCCGAGAAAGTAAAACAGAAAATTCATTATGTCTCATAAATAAAGGTACATAATA